CAACGGCGTCAACGTCTCCACCGCAGAGAAGCACTGGTACTGCGCCTTGGCGAAGCAGGGCAAGGTCGCCATCAAAATGAAGGGGTCCCCCGACTCGGACTACGGCATCGTCATGGGTGACATGTGCGGCATCGGCGTATTGATTGCCAAGCTCAAGCCTTTCAAATACAGGTCTGGGCGCGACTTCTACATGATCGACTTCGACGCTGCGGCCCCGCTCAAGATGACTTACGTATTTGATCCATCGGAGTGGGATGCCCTGCCTTTGTCCTGGACGTCACCGCTGATGCAGTTTGTCGCGGAGGGGGGGCGCAGCTTGCCAGGTGGCATCGAGAAGTACTGCATGAGGCTCGAACCAACTGGGCCTGCTGACAGTCTGTTGCGAGTGGCTGCCAAGAACGCCTTTTGGGATCTGGGATTGTCAGTGTTGAAGACATTCCACAAAGACCTTTGCGTCGACCCCCCTGGCGGCCTCGACCTTTTCGAGACCTTGCAGGCGCTGGTGACGCACGTCTTGAAGCCGACAGATCTGGACCTGTGCGAAATCTTGCGGAAGCGTTGCTTCGTGAAGTTCGTCGGTGAGGACGGCTTGGTGGACATCCAGGGGGCGATGGATTGCATGACGAAGGAAGAGCAGGAGATGACGAGAGAGACGCTGTCTGAGAAGGACGCCCAGAAGCAGATCAGGAAGGAATACACCGCGAAGTTCAACGTCTACCGCAAGGAGGTGAAGGCGGTGCGCACTGCCGAGGCTGCCGATCAGAACCGCACCAAGCAGGAGCTGAAGAAGTGGAAGGGGCCAATCGAGCCGCCCAAGGACGGGACCGTGCACTCCGAGGCGAAGAAGTTCCTCCCACCTGGTGCGAGCCTGTGGAGGGGTCTCACAGGCACGGGCGCGTGGCACGTCCACATCCCCCCGCACTACACGTCCAAGACGTGGCTCGAGGCTGGCAGCTACGACAACGCGCTCAGGTTCGTCCTGGCCTTCGCCTGGAAGAAGTACCTCAAGAGCAAAGACCTCGACGACTCGCACTGCCCGATCAAGGGCCTGCTGAAGCACTACACGGACGAGGAGGAGCAGGCGGCCACCGCAGCCGCGAGCTCGTCGAGGGGATGAGTGACAGCTCGCTTCACTTTTTTTTCTGCCGTCGCAGCTCCTTCCCTCTTCGTTCTCGCACGAGGGTGCCTCCAGACATAGATACGCCCAGCAGGGGAGAAACCCCTTCCCTCGCCCCCGCCCCTTCTCTGGTGAAAACGGGGATGCGACGGCACGAGGTTCGACACAATACCTTGTATTGTGGACTATGCCGCCCGCCACTGCCCAGACATGACCACAGCTCCCAGCGTGACGTACGCTGGGAGCTAAGATTTCGATTAGGGTGGGCCGCACCGCCAGCATCGCATCTTCGATTGCTGGTACGTGTTGTGTTGGTTCATGGCTGGTAGTTGGATGCACTGGCCAGCAGCAGGACGCCTGGTGCATCGCTCGTGCAAGATGGGACTCGTCCGTAGTTCGACCGTAGGTGAACACATAACTTAGCATAGCATGATGTTGGTGCGTGTAGCGCACGGCAGAGGGCAGAGGATGATATCGAATAGGAGGCGGGCCGTCGGGTCGCAACGAGGCCACGTGGGAGTTCAGAGGAGGGCGGATGGGGAATGAGGAGGGGTGGAGGGAAGGTACGGGGCACTAGATAATGAGGAATGTGGCGGCTGCGGGGGGGGAAGGTACGGGGCACTAGGAAATGGGAGGGGTGAGGAGGGATGGAGGGGAGATGCGGGGAAGGTATGGGGAATGAGGAGGGGTGGAGGGAAGGTACGGTGCATTAGAAAAATGGGAATGAAGAGGGGTGGAGGGAAGGTACGGGCCTCTTAGCCATCATCCCTCGTGACCTTGTCGTTCCCTTGTCCATCTGAGCTTGCTCTCCCGCCCCCTCCCTCTCCCTCGCCCCTGCCCCCCTCCCTTCCTGGCCAATCTCTCCCGTCCCTCATCGCTCCCGCCTGTTTCCCACCAGTCGTGCCCCCACTTCCGCTTAGCCATTTTTGCTCAAACCCCTCAGCGCTGAGAAGTGCGTTGGCGCCCGAGTCCGACAGCTGCCTCAGCTGCGCTGGGGTACGCGCGTTGGCGTAGAAATTACCCTGGTAGCGGGGCTGTGCTGGCACTCTGCCAGATCTTGTCGCGGGCCATCTTCCCCCTGGATTTGTTTGATGGCCTCACGGCTGTTTTGAGCGGCTTTGGCGACTTGGCTGCGGTCGGGTTTCGGATCGGGCTTATGCCTGGGCCTTGGGGGCGTATGTTGCTGGTGTCGGGTTAGCTTTTGCGGCTGTGTGTTGCCCGTGTGGAGGGGGGCAAACGCTCGCTTCAAGCGGTGGCGCGGTGGTTTCAGACAGGCCTATTCGGGAATTTCACCCCCCCAACGGCGAGTGTATCTTGTTGAGGCAGTAGCCACGGTCCACTTGCAACGGGGCCTCCATGCTCCCCAGGCGTGGTGCGATTCCCTGGACGCCGAGGTCGTGGTCTTCGTCGAGGAGCTGCTTGGCGTGGCCCTGTCGGCAGCACAGCGGACGCAGATTTTCTTGCCTTTCCAGCTCGGAGGCTTGGGTCTGTGCTCCATGGGCGCCAGGAGGCACGCGGCGTACGTCGGCTCCTGGGAACAGTGCTTCAGCGAGGTCGCCAGCCACGTCGGGTGCACTTCCGCCAGCTGCTTCTTCAGGGGTGCCCCGCGGACGCGCGCCGCAATCCAGGCAGCGGAGGCCGGTTTGCGAGCGCAGGGCGTCGCCGGCGGCGTGCCCTGGGAACGGCGATTCGGCAGCACGGTCCCCCACCAGCAGAAGATGTGGACGAAGGCGGTTCACCAGGCTGCGCACACTGGCCTCCTCCAGTCCCTCCCAGAGGACGAGAGGGTCGATCTCCGTTCGGCCGGAGGCAAGGGCGCGGGGAGCTTCCTGCTGGCGCCTTCGCTGGAGGAGCATCTGATGCCGGACGCGCAGTTCATAGAGGCCGCTCGAATGCGCTTGCGGGCCGCCGTCCACGCGCCGGGGCGCAGGTGCCAGCATAAGTCAGGGGAGACCAGTGCCGTCTGCAACGAAGAGCTGGACGGCAAGGGCCGCCACGGGCGGATCTGCAAGACCGGCGGTGGCGCCGTTGCCCGGCACGACCGCGTCCGCGACTGGCTGGCGGCTTGGGTGGCCAAGGTCGCCGGACGGACTGCCGTGACGGAGCAGTTCGTGCCCCGGTGGGACCGGCGGGTTCTGGGCCCAGACGGGCGCGAGCGCATCGAGCGGGCAAAGCTTGACGTCGCGCTCGACAACGCCAGCGGTCGCCGGGTGTACGTGGACGCTGCCGTTGTGGAGGCTTCTTCACCAGATGGGCATGAGCGGCGGCAGCGGGCCGCCAGAGACGGGGCTGCGGCAGCAACGGCAGAGGACAGGAAGCGCGCGCGCTATCCCTGGCCTGGCCTGACACCTTTTTGTAATCGAGTGTCTCGGCCGGGTCGGTGAGAGCGCCGACGGGCTCTTGTGTTCTCTGGCCCCAGCGGACCCCGCCGAGAGGTCGCGGGTGCTGGGGGCCGCCCGGCAGAGCCTGTCTGTATTAGTACAGATGGGCAACGCCGAGAACGTCCTCTCGGCCGGCTAATTGGCTCATGTCTACTGCAGTTTTCTACATATTTAGCTAACCTCTCCTCCTGTTCCCTCCTCCTCCTCCGCCGCGTCCTTCTCCCTTTCCCTCCTCCTCCTCCTCCGTAGTCGTTTTGGCTACGCCCGCGCGCGCGCTGCACGCTCGCCGCGCGCTCGCCTCAGCTGCCCGCCTCCAGCGCCTCTTCTCCCTCTCCCTCTCCTTCTTCCCCGCTTCCTGCCTCCGGCGCGCGCGCGGCGCCTAACGGTGGGGTCAGGTGGCTCGCACCCCACGGCCGCGCCCGCGTCTCCTCCGCCTCCCGGTTCCTTCCGGCTCCCTCCTCCCCTCCTCCCGCCTCCTCCAGCTCGGTGGCTAGCTGTGCGGCTCTGGGGCGGCGTCAAGACGGTGCTGTCCCAGGAGCCACTGGAGTTGTTGACGAACTGTCCTCTTCCTCTCCCCTTCGCTTCTTGTCCGCCCTTTCTTGTCCCTTGCTCGCGTCTTGCCCGCTTTCCTCTTCTTTTCAGCCGGAGGAGGAGGAGGAGGATGATGATGAGGAGGAGGAGGAGGAGCAGGAGGAGAAGGAGGAGGAGGAGGAGGAGGAGGAGAAGGGGAGGGGGAGGGGATGGGAGGAGGAGGAGGAGAAGGAGGAGGAGGAGGAGGAGGAGGAGGAGGGAGAGGGAGGAGGAGAAGGAGGAGGAGAGGGAGGAGGAGAGGGAGGAGGGGGAGTGAAGGGAGCGGAGGAGTGGGAAGGTAGATGGGAGGAGGGAGGAGCGACGGGCGAGGGAGGTAAGAGCGAAGGAAAGGAGGGGGATCAGGGGAATACTATCCTCGACCGAATTGGCCTCACAAATCTGCATCCCCCAATGCTGACGAGCGAACGGATGGCGCGGCGCCAAGCCGCTGCGCCTCAGCATTGCTGGACCGCGATTTCCCCGGAGGTGCCAGCCGCGTCACGTTTAAGTTTGTCGCGTAATTAGCTCTCCGAGGGGGCCAGTCGCGCCAGGGGTAAGTTTGTCATAGCTTCGGCGTCTGTGATGTTAATGTGGGGGGTGTTGTAGGGAGGAGGGGGGCCACGACCAGGTCCACGAAAACAATGACCACGACGACACCAACGTCGACACGACGACGACCACGACGACCGCCACGGCGACGGCGACTTACGATTACGACGACCGCCACCACGACAACGATGAAGATGACGACATATGACGACGACGACGACGACGACGACGACGACGACGACGACGACGACGACGACGACGACGACGACGACGACGACGAGGACGACGAGGACGACGAGGACGACGACGGCGGCGGCGGCGAGGGCGACGACGACGATGGCGGCGCGCGACCTGCCGGCCCGCCGGCGCCGCTCGGCCGACAG